CCCCCAATCTGTTTGAGGGCCACGCCTGAAGAGGACTCGGCCGCCTGACTTGGGAACGGACTGGACCGCCAGCCTGCTCGGGGCCCCAGGACGGCTCTCCCCATCGTGACTGCGCATCCGCTCAGTGGGCGGCGGGGACCCCACAGACCTCGTCCCTCCAGAGCCTGGCGGCTCCTTCCAGCCAGGAGGGGCCTCAGAGGCCAGCTGGGGGTCACTGCGTGCCAGTCGCGCAGCCTCACAGGCCCCTGTGCTTTTGGGAGGCGTCCCTCCAGCTGGGCATGCACGAGGGAACACCCCCTTCCCCAAGAAGAGCCCTACCCGGTGATTCTACTAAAGAGCCCCGTGGAGGAAGTGGCGTGGTCAGGGACAAGGACTGGCGCACACCCGTGGGCGTGGCTGAGCCCGGGTAAGCGGGGCACCATGGCCACGTGCTCGTCACACATCATCCCGCAAGCCAACACTTGCAGGGAGCCGGGCTCACGGATGTACGAGTGACCACCTCCATCACCCAGAGCACACAGGTGTTTGGGAGCTAACATTGCTTTCATGGCTGTTGGGAAGCCTCCTCTGGCCCACGGGTGGGAAACACTTGGATGATTTTTAAGGGCCCGTGTAATTGCCAAGGGCAGCAAAGTCATAGGGTGTCCACCTGCGGGCAGACAGGTCTCCCCTGGAGTCCTGCCCAGGAAGGGAGTAGGCAGGGTGAACCCAGGGGTGAAGGACCCCCCCACACACATCTCCCTCACAGTGTCCTAGACTCCACCAGCGAGTCCCACTTGCACGACCCCTATGCATCTTTGAACATCTTTTCCAAAGCAAGCTTAGCCACCTCTCCCTGTGTGTCCAACACTGTTGCTAGGGGTCTGTAACCCAAGTACCCCCTTAGGAGGACATGCACAATGCTTTCCTCCCATAGGGAAGGGGCCAGCAAAGCAGAACTGAGCAACTGACCTCACATGGCCACCACGGTCAGTCATCGTGAGCCATGCCAAGAAACTGCCCAAAGCACCGTATTCACATACAAGTGAACAAATAACCAAGCTTTCATCACTGATAACTTTCAACTTTGGACCCAAGACTTGCATTTTGCCACCCAGCTGCACAGTGATGCTGGTACCAGGCCTCATTGCAGCCCCCACCAAAAGTCACCGAGCCGCTGCACAAGCAGATGACCATTGGAAGCAGGTCCCCTTGCGTGGACCAGAGGGCTAACCGCACACAGACCCCCCGGAATGAGGAGTCTGTGTGGGCTGGGTCCCTCTCCGCGAGGACGAATCAGCACACCTATTGGTCTGTCTGGGACGTGACCTTTCCTCCTTCCTTGTTCTTCTGTGAGTGCTCCTATCTGAGCAGCAGAGGGCCCAGCGTGGATGGCAGCAGTCTGGGGTCTGAGCACAGAGACGTCCCGTGGGGCCGAGGCAGCGATGCAGGGGGACCAGACCTGGGGAGGCGACCCCTCGGGACCTGCGCCGCGGGCTCAGGGAGCCACACTGAGCACCTTGTGGCACTCTCCACATGGACAGAAGTCTGTGGGTTCACACCATTTACAATTTTGATACAAAAATAGGAATATAGAAATTGTGAGAGAAATGCAATAGTACTTATGTGAGGATTCTTTTCCCTAGTGAGGGCTAGCCGCTGGCTCAAGAAAGAAATGGAATGCACATAAATAACAAAAATGGCCGTTTCGTTTTGGAATAAGCAAATTTCAATTTCTAAAAGAGAGTCAGCAGGACATGGCAGCAAACGTTTGGTAAAGTGCATCTACTTCCCCAGACGTTTGAGTCCTGAAAGGCACCAAGTTGGTAGGACTGGGCAGAATGCTAGCAGGCGAGCGACCTGGGGGTGACTGGTTGACGAGCCTGATTCAGGGGCAGCACGTGGGACACGCATCCACATCCCCTGTGCCTTTTCACGGAATGCAAGCACTCCTTTGTTTTGTTCAAAATGCAAGTAAGAGTGTAGGTCCTCATAATTATTGCCAGTTTGTAAAACGTTCACAGAGCCAGCATCAGTGGCCAGTGACCACGACAAAACGCACTTCCCCTTCCGATCGGGCGGCAGACAGAATTGGACACTGTCCTTCTGGGTGCCGGCCTGTCCCTGGCCGAGACGGAGGTCACGCCTCTCTGAGAGAGTACCACCACCCCGTGTGGCTACAGTGGTGGCCCTCATACCACATGGTGAACCCCTCTTCAAAGATTTTATCCCTCTTTTGCAGGACAGAGAAAGACTCCATGGGATTTCTACTGGCTAAATATGACAAATTAAAAAAATGAAAACAACCACGTTCCAACCAGAGCCTTCGCACGCTGCCCTACTTGTGAGAGTCTCCCGAAATGTGTGTGTCTCCTTCTAGGAATGTCTGCCTTCTTATGTATTAACATAAGGGAATAAATCAACATGTCCTTACAGCCCAGACTTCCGTGAAAACCAGACAGACAGAGCACAGTGCAGAGGTACGCATCCTGAGGGCTCACCCCGCGGGGGACCTGGGTGGGTTTGGACGGCCTCACACCCTCACTCACCGACCCTCATGGTGCCCACACAGGTCTGTGCTGTGGTGCGTGCTACCTGGGAAAAGGAGCTTTCTCGTGAGAATGCAGCTAGGTGGGGTCTGCACACCGTCTGCTCACGTGACCTAAAGCATCAAATCCCCGTCTGGACTCTTCACTTCCCACTCACTCATTCAGACAGATAGTGTTTGCACGGCCAGAGTCAGCACTGCAGTTTGAATCTGAGGACGGGAGCTTACGGTCCAGTGGGAAGACAAGCTGTTTACCCGTGAGACTGCCCAGGGTGAGACCCAGAGCTGCATGTGGGCCGAGAACAGGTGTCTGGTTCTGCACGAGCACCATCGTGAAGGAAGTTAGGAGGAAGCCTGCTGAGTGCAGGCCAGGCTAGGTGACACAGGACCCAGTGCTGAGAGGCTCTGGGATCAGCTGGATGGCGGGGCAGCCACCGGCAGGTGTGGGCAGGAGGGTGGGCATTCCAGGGAGAGCCGGCTAGGGGCGGGGATGAGGAGGCCAGAGGCGCGGCTCCAGAGGATGCACCCCGGACGGCCACTGAGCAGTTCTGGGAGCCGTTGCTGGCAGGAGGCCTGGACAGGGGCCAGGGCAGAAGATGGGAGGTTGAGCACATTGGGGTGGTACTGAGTTTGAGGAGCAAAGAGGACGTTCAAAGCCGATTACAAAGTGTTTAGCTTGGAGAATTTGGAAGTTGGGAATGACAGAGGGCGGCTCACGAGGGGAGCCCATGGGAGCTCTGGGAATGTACGGGTTTACACAAAGCTTGGGGTGGTGATAAATTGCCCAGAGACGCACGTGGAGATGTCTTAGCCTGGGTTTGGCAGCTGTTTCTGCAAAGGACTGGACAATAGTCTAGGTTTTTATGGCACAACCGCTGGGCTTTGCCATTGTGCGAAACAAGTCACCGACCAAATGGATGAGGGCGGCGGGGCCCCATACGCCTTTACCTATGAACCCTGAAATTTGACTTCACATAATTTTTACATGTCACAAACTCTTCAATTTAAGCATATCAGAGCCATTCTTAGCTCACTGTAACAAACAGGCTGGGGAGATGCCAACCTGGTGCTCATGGGAGAAGGCAGGGCCAACATACACGTTTGGGAACCCCTGTCCTTTCCCACCTTCCCTCCTTCACTACTCCCACATGTGGACTTCCATGCCCTGTGGGAGAGTGCCCCAAGCTCCTCAGCATGGTGGGTGATGCAAAGCCATCTCCTCACCTGCCCCACAGGGCCTGTCCCTGCTCTCAGGCACCTTGTCCGGCCATGGGTCTTTCATCTTTGCATAATTTCTACTCAAGCTCATGATCAAGTGCAAGATTTGCCATTTTGCTAAAGTTCCTGCTAATTCCTCCAGAATGGACTCCTTGCTTCACTTTCTGCATGAGTGTGTATTTCACTGTCTTCCATTTGTTCCCTAGCTCTTCCTTAAAACTTGTCATCCAGAAGGAAAGAAGAGGTAGATAGATGATACATGATAGAGTGGATGGACAGGAGGATGGATGGATGGATGGATGAACAGATAGATGGGTCAGTGGATGAATGGATGGATGGATAGAGGGATGGATGGGTGGATGGGTGGATGGATGGATAGATGAATGGATGGATGGATAGATGGATAGATGGATAGGTGGATGGGTAGATGGATGGATTGATGGGTGGATGGGTGGATGGATGGATAGATGAACGGGTGGACAGATGGATGGATGGATGGATAGATGGATGGGTTGGATGGGTTGATGGATGGATTGATGGGTGGATGGGTGGATGGATGGATAGATGGATGGATGGGTAGATGGGTAGGCTGGTGAGTGGAAGGATGGATAGATGAATGGATGGATGGGTAGATGGACAGATGGATGGGTGGACAGGTGGATGGATGGATGGATGGATGGATGGATGGATGGATGGATGGATAGATGAATGGGTGGATGGGTGGATGGATAGATGAATGAGTGGATGGATGGATAGATAGATGGATGGGTGGATGGGTGGACTGGTGAGTGGATGGGTAGATGGATGGATGGATGGACGGCTGGATGGGTAGACAGGTGGATAGATGGATGGATGGATGGATGGATAGATAAACAGACAGACAGAAAGACAGCAACTAGCCAGTGTCTGGAAGAATGAAGGCACTTAAATCAATGTGTGTTGAGTGTTTTTGAAAACAGGTGGTAGGATCTAAGGTGTGATATCCAAAGACTGGGGTGAAAGGTCCTACTTTTATATCCTGTTGGACATTTCCATGGCCCTGCCCCTTGCTCCCAAGCATTATGCTTCCCCCCCACACCCCCACAATAGGCTCATTTCACAGTTATTCTTTAGGAGCAATGGCTCAATTCTCTGTACCTGCAGCAAGCCTTGGGGAGGACATTCTTGTAGGGTAACCACAGACCACAATTGCTCTGTGGTGTCTACTGCCTGGTGCCTGGGATCAGGGACAGCTCTCAGCTTACATCCTATCAAGAAAACTGACCTGGCCACTCTCATCCTTAATGGGCATTTTCTTTGATGTTTTAAAAGTCTGTTAGATGAATCTAGTGTGAGAGAAATGGAGTCACTGAGGTTCTTCTCAGTAAATTATGGTAAAAGTTTGCCTTTCCTTCTGTTTTTTTATTTGTTTGTTTTGTTTCTTAAAGACCTAATATTGAAGTTTCTGTTCTGTATTCTTGTTTCCTTGTGAGCCAGCTGAAGAGCTTGGCTCAGCCGAGGTTTCTGACAACAGGTATGTTCAGGGTGGGTGGGAATGAATGCCAGTAATTACAAGTTTGTCCGGCTCTTTAGAGCTGTCAGCTGATCCTCACAACAGCTCTGTGAGGTCCAAAGGATGGGCACTATTACCACCTCTCTGTTCTGGGGGCAAGTAACACCCAGAAAGATTAATCTCCCAAATATCACACAGCTCCTAAATGGAAGAGCTGAGAATAGACCCAAGTCGGTTTGACTTCGAATCCACTAATAGGTGTTGCAAGCATGAAAATGTGCTCTACTGGTCATGACCTCACCCAAAGTCCAACTATAATGACGAGGTCAAGGAAATCAGGCCACACAGACCAACAGGAGCAAAGAGGTGCAGGAGACAAGCAGCTAGAGGAACTCCTCCCTAGATCACTGCGAGATATTGCTAAGTTGGAAATTGTATAAACGAAATTCTTAATTATGTGAATTCAATTTTTTTGATCCTTCATTTGCAATCAAATGGATCAAAAGGATAAAATTATAACAAAACGGAAATTGGTGAATTATGATTAAATAAAACAAAAATAATTATTTTCTGTTATACCCTAAGCCACTCTCTTTTCCACTTACATTTTTGTTTCTCTATGTTATGAATTGATACACACAAGGATAATCAATATGTGATACATCAAAGAAATACTAAATTTCACTCACTATACATATTAATTGTTATTAAGGCAAAGAATGACTAACATAGCTTAGAAACATGTGCAGCAACTCACATTGAATTGTAAAGAGGTTTTGGAACTCCCCAAACCTTCAGTTTAAATGAATATTTTTGTGTGCTATGATTTTAATTAAATATGTTTTTCAGAGAGGAGCTAAAAGAACTTTAAAAGCCCATCTCCTCTCCTCTGCTACAGAACAACAAGATAAGACTTATAAATCATCAGAACTTCTACAACCCACATCCCAGTCGGGAAAATTTGCCAACTCAGTCCACATATCCTAGAATTTGAAGCAGAAATGCAGTTAGATAAATACGTGACATCAGAGAAATGCAGTCACCCCGCTCTCGTTCAATGACTTACCATGTTAATGCAGGGAAGCAATGGGAGCTACCTCGAATTGCTGGCAGAGGGCTCAGAACCCACGAGGGCAAGTAAGCTACCCCCTTCCTGAGAGGCAGGTGGTGTTTTATTTGTTCTACCTGCTCTTTGTTTTTACTGGATGCATGGTAGCTAGGTCACCACGGGAGGCCCTGCCTGGCCCCACTCCGCATGGGGAAACAGGCCAGGGCCGGCACCTGCTGGAAGGAGGCCCGGTGACACCAGCAGAAGCTGTCTGCTCTTGGGTGCACCTTGGAGTCACTGGTAAATGAGATAATGTCACCGTACAGGCAGCATCTCTGGGGAGGCCAATTTAGTTGGTCCAGGGTGCAGCCTGGGCATTGGAATGCTTAACATCTCCCCAGAGGACTCTGATGTGCACCCAAGGTTGAGAGCTCTGAGGGAACACAGAGTTTCTCCAACGGCCAAGAACTCTGGGAGCTACCTCTGGCACCCCCAGGTTGCCCTGTGTTGGAACCATCCACGAAAGGAAGTTTATGAAGATAAGGACCTGCCTCAGCCACAGCAGGAAGCCCGTGAGCCAACGGCTCTCTGTGTCCACATTCTGAAAGTGGCCAGAATGTGCTGCTTTGGAAGCATCGAGGGAAGGGCATCTTTCTCCGTCCTGCAAGCTTCCGCTCACCCACACCTGGGAGCACACAGGGGAGCCCAGCCTGTGGGTGTGCTTTCTTTGGTACCCATCAAGGGACCCCATGCTCGACCAGTTTGTCGGAAACGGATATACACAACAACAACATTATCAACGGCAAGCGTGACGCTCACTTAAAGAGTGTGCACCTCCTACCATCATATCCTTTGGGGGATATATCCCTGGTTTGCACCTTGGGAGCTATGGCCCGCTTGCCATAAGTATGGCTGTCGTAAGTGTTGTACTCAAACGAGGTCTTGGAATATTTCTCCAGCTCTTTGGCCAGGTTGGAGCGAGGCGTGGTCGTGGGGACGTTGTTTCTGTAGCCGTAGTGAGGGATCTCGAGCTGCTTTACAAAGCACATTGGCCTGTAAGCAAACAAGAAATAATCGACAGCTTGCTTTCCCGCGGCTGCAGGTAAGACATGGTTCATGTCAGCATTAGGGCACGTCGCTCAAATCCACCTTCCTGAGCAAAGACTGTGTGTGCTGGGATTGCATAGCCCCACATAAGCCGCCTGCCTCACTGCCAGCATGCGCAAGAAGCACACAAATAAGACATTTAACTTTCCCCCGTATTTCCTGTTCTGTTTGGGGCCCTGGCTGGCTGGACTCGGGAGGTGCGAGGACAGGAAGGACCCCGCATCCTGGCATTCCTTTCTCAGGGGCTTCAGAGAGGAAGAGTTAACAACAAAGGAGGTGAGCTAGTAAGACGTTTTCCTTAAAAAAAATGAGAAGAAATAAAGAAAAACTCTTAGGGACATGGGTTGACCCAAAACGAGATAAAAATGTACATGGCTGGACATGAAAATGGAAAACAGATAGCAGCCGGTCCGTCCAGTATTTTTATGGGTGGTCATCCAGCAGTCTGGACTCCGGAGGAAAGTATTTAAATGGAGGAACACTCAGTTATTACACACTCATCAATATTCTACCTGGTTTTGTGTGTGTATGTGTGTGTCCACCTATTTCCGTATCTCATGGGTGGGATTTTTAAACTGTTTGGGGAAATGGCTTTAGACTTACAGACAAGTGGTGTGGAGGGGTTCCCTTTGCTCTACATTCAGCTTCCCTCAGGCTAATAGCTTTATCAAATCACCAACACATTTATTTTGATTTCATTTATTCAGCCTATTCTTGTCAAATTAACGAAATACTGTGGTGATTCGTTGAATGCCTGTCATGTGAGGCATTTTACCAGGTAATCTGTGGCGGTACGTACAGGAATAGACCCTCGCCTTGCCTTCAAAGAGCACGCAGAATGTGACATTATTTTAAGAGTCCAGCTGCGAAGTAAGCTGTACAGATGGGTAAACGGTCCAGGCGAAGATCCAGGGAAGAAACTACAGACGTCAAAGGTGAGAAGCAGGAGCGCTAACGGTATCTCTGGGGACTCGTGGGAGGCTGGTGACCTGCGGCCAGATGGGGGACCTGCTCCGCCCAGTGGGCAAGGCCCAAGGCTTTGGGCCGGGGAAGGCGCAATCCCCAAGCCTTCAGAAGATTAGGACCAGCTCAGAAGGAGCGGGGCTTGGAGCAGAGGTGTTAGTGACCAGGTGGCCCTTGGTGAGGGACAGACGCTGTGCTGGAGGCCCACCACCCGCGGCCAGGACTGGAAAATTGGAACAGGGTTGGAAACCCTTACATCTTCCTGTTGCACAATCTGCTTGAAGACTTTTCAACTCTTAGTTAAATGAGCGTGGATTTATTTATTTATTTCTAAAGATTTAAAAAAAAATTTTATTTATTTGAGAGAGAGGGAGAGAGAGAGAGAGCGAGCAAGCACAAGCAGGGGGATCAGTAGGCAGAAGGAGAGGGAGAAGCAGGCTTCCCGCTGAGCTGGGAGCCAGACCCGGGGCTCCATCTCAGGACCCTGGGATCACCAACTGAGCCCCCCAGATGCCCCATGAGTGTGGATTTCAATTATCTTCTCTTTGCTCCCTTCCTGTCTGCTTCCTTCTCCACCGGGCGAGTGTGCCCCACGTGGAGACACCATGGGGAATGCCCACAGGGAGACCGGGTCCTCCAGGCCTTGCCCACACTTGGGATGCTGGGGCCTGAGGTGCGCCCCGGGAGCTGGGGAGCACGGGAGCACCCCAGAAACGAGGCTGTGGTTGGTGTGGGTGCTTCCCTTCGGGCCCTGTCCCACCCACCTCGCCATGCCCAGCCAGAGGCACATAAAGAATATTGTTTATAGATGCATATCAGCCCACACTCGTGTGTTCCATTGTCATTTGCTGTGGTTTTCCATGGCTTTGGCCTGTGGTTTTGGCCACAAAACCACAGAAACAAGGTCAAAGGCTGTTGCTTCAGGCTCCACATCGGCGTGGAGGCTCGTGTCTGAACAGGGTGGTGTTTGCAGTCTGCAGCCCCCAGGGAAGCATCTCCCGAGTGATGCCTACTCAGCCCGACGGGAGGGTCCCCAGGAGGGGGGCTCAGGGCTCTTTCTAGCTCTGGGGTCTGGCTAGAGGTGACAAACGTGGACAGAAGCCCTAAGTCTCGGTTGCTCTCTACCTGTTCTCAGTTCTCTTGGCTGACAGCCATTCCTTCTCAGACGGACGGAGCCCCGGGGGAGGGCTCCCACCTGCCACTAACTAACCTTATCTTCTGGGAGGTGGGGGCCGCAGGCTCACGGGGGCATGTTAGACTGCTAGCACCCCCACACAGAAAAATCTACGAGAACGTACACCAACATTTATTGAGGGCTTATCTCTAAATAGTAGGGTTATAAGTGGTTTTTATTTTCCTGGTTTTGCCTCATTTTCCATAAAGATTTTAACTTTTTGGGGCACCTGGGTGGCTCAGTTGGTTAAGCATCTGCCTTCGGCTCAGGTCATGATCCCGGGGTCCTCGGATCGAGCTCCCTGCTCAGCGGGGAGTCTGCTTCCCCTTCTCCCACTCCCCCTGCTTGAGCTCTCTCTCTCTGTCAAATAAATAAATGAAGTCTTTAAAAAAAAAGATTTTAAGTTTTCCATTGAGGGACAAAAGTGTGCATAGCGACTATGGTAAAATCCCTTCAGAAAACTAAACTAATGCACAACAAAACCAAGCAGGTGTTCATGCCACTTAAATGGTGCTTTTTCCCAAGTGATTTATCCTAAAGAAATAATGTAATGGAAGCAAAGTTGTGTGCACGTGTGTGTGTGTGTGTACTCGCTGCTCCCTCCGTAACCGTGGAATGTGGACTCCACCTCCGAGCGACGACCTGCTTCCTGCATCGGGGCGCCCCTCCCCCCCAGAAGGTGGGCAGCCGTGCGACCTGCAGGACAACCCTGTGAAGACCCGGGAGTGTGTCTGCCATCGTCTCCTCCAGCGATGGTTTGAAGGGGGCAACGGGAAGTGAGAATTGATAGACGGGATCTGGGACAGGGGGTTTCTCCCTCCACCCCTCCCAGAATCCTCCCTGTCTAAACTGAAACCTGGGCTGGACCAGGTGATCTCTGAGGTCTTTCCGTGACAGTGACCGAGTGGGTTCAAGTACGGCACTCAGCCGCCCTGCACCCAGCTCCTCCGTGCCCCCTCGGGGTGTCTGGGGACAGAGGAGCCGGCCCCTCGGCGGGCTCCCCCATGGAGAAAAGCTCCGTACGTCCTGCGAGGCAGCACCACGCTGCAGGCTGGTAATATGCCCTGTCCTCCAAATTAAGATAAAATTACTTTGGGCATCTCATTAAGGTGGGAGCTTCCCTCTTTCATCTAATAGTCACAGAATCACAAAATAACATCCAGGCCAGAAAGAAAACCAGAAACACATCATCTACTCTCATTTGAAGACTTACAGCGGGCGGACAGAGTCCCAGAGTGGCCAGGTGGCTCCCTGCCCTCACACAGACCCCGCGGGCGAGGGGTGGGCCTGGGGCTTGGCTCTTTTAACTGCACCAGTGACCACTGGCGTTCCTGTCCGCCTCCCCCAGGGCCCCCGGCGCCCGGGCGTGCTGGATCTCGTGACATGACATGCTCGGCATTTGGTACCTTAGCACTCGGTCTGAGGCCTGGTTGGACTTGGACACATCACAGCTCTGGTGTTTCTCCTGCGCCTTTGCCAATTTCTCTGCTGCAGCAATAGGGCATCCAGAGAGGCTGCAAGGACAGAAAGCGGATTTAATCGTCTCCACCAGCAGCTCCTCGGCACACGTCGCCCCCTCCCCGCCTCTCCCTTGGTCGGCACCAGAAGACCCGAAGCAGCTTCCCACACCTGCTGTGGGCTTTCCCGAGGGGATGGCTAGGAGAGGGAGAAATAATCGTGGTTGTCGTGTGCATGATGTCCTGCGGTCTCCAGTGGATGACGCTGAGGACCGTCCGCGCATAAAGCACACTCAACCCTCTCCAGCAACTGTGAGCTGAATTCTGGGTCATTCAAGAGGACACGAGCGAGTTGAAACTGTAGACACAGATTCCACTCTGCAGGTGATGTTTCTGCAGGTGAGGATGGAGCCGCCTGGGTGGGATGAGCTTCTAAAACGCCCAGGAACGGCAGCTCTCCGACTGGTGTCAGAAGATGACTGTGGGAGCGCCACTGACCGTAGGGCTTGGGCTTCCCACCGACCAGCTCGTCCACGTCCTCCCCGGGAGGGGGCGTGGAACTGGGAAGAAAGCAGAATGGTCTCTAGGGCCGCTCTGAAGTGTTTTTTTGGAACTAAATATTTACGGGAGAGGCAGCAGACTGCTTCTCTGGTGCTTGCGTTTATTCTTCATGAGATCACGGGGTCTGCTCCTCGTGGGTCTGCACGGATAGCTACACACAGGTACGGATGCGTGCCCCCCATGTGCATCATGTCTCACAAACACACCATTGCCGAGGACTGACGAGGGAGCTGGTGCTGTGAACACCACACTGAACGCGCTCAGCATCAGCCTTTTGCCAACCTACCGATCATTCCCTTCTTCTGCAGACTAAGCCCAGGACAATCTCTGAGGGCCACGGGGTTGTGATTTGTTTCATTATGAATTTAACACAAGTAACCAAATTTACCAGACAGGAATAAATTAAGATGAAACTCATAATAGTTTCCTTCATTTAGCCATAATTTCACATGAGCTTCTGAGGCTGAAAGAATAGGCTGTAAGATACATTTTAACAGATCACTCCGGCTATTGATAAAGAAGTATTTGATATGATCTGAGCATTATGAGCAGCTTTGTGAAAGTCAGAACAGGAAAGGAAAGAGAACTGGAATTTGTCCATAGCAAAAGTGTGATTCCAAGCATGCCTGTTTACCTGGCTCACGGTCATGCCAAACGCTCCCCAACTAGAACTTTTGGGCAGCTGCTAGTATTTTGGTGATGTCCACGCTGATGACTGGGGTCTCGGCAGAGTTTCAGGGGCAACCTAGTTAGGTCACAGGCCATCCAGTCTTCGTGCATTGTAACCCTTCCCTGTACGATGCGCACAGCTTCTCCCCACCCCTGGACGGGAACTGAACGTTCCCTGCAGATGGCTGGGATCCATCTTAAGTATTACACCAAGGAGGGCACCTTCTGGGGGACTCGGGATGAGTGGGTGGGACAAGTAAAAAATCCACTCTGCAAAAAGGGGTCTCAGCATTTGCCTTCCCCATGCACGATACGCTGCCAGAGAGCGGCCTGTCCCCCGGGGCAGGAAGGGGAGGTGTGCAGGGGCGCACTCCCTCCGGAGGAGGTACGGGTGTGGCTGTCAGGGGACCTCCATCCCCGCACCGGCATGGGGCACAGGAGCGCTTTGCTTACCTTCTGTGCGAGTTCCTGTTGCTATTTACATGCCCTCGCCCTGTGCAGCCCGGAGTGGGACACTTGAGAACATTCTCATGCATGGCAAGAACTTGACAAGGAGAGGCAGAGAAGACAGCCCAGCATTAAAACATAGAAATGGTCCGAATACAAGAATATGCAATCATTTTAACAAAGGCTGGGTTAGTTTATGATGGACAGTCCTACACACATTCGTGATGGACATGGTCAGGAAACACATGTAGGAAGGAGAAGGTTGTCTCAACCTTAGTGTCATTGGCATGCAAAGCAGGGTGCATGGGGGGCGCTGCGGAGGTCGGGAACGTGGCAGCCGACTTGCTCCAGACGGGGCAGGGAAGCAGGGCCCCCCTACATCTCCCACACATCAGCCCGAATATCGTTTAGCCATGTAACAGCACGTAGATTGGTAATTTTTAAAACATGCCTGTGCTCTGGAAACACAGAGTATGATGAGGGCACAGTGGTCGTGGGTGAATAGAGACCCCCAAACCTAATCTGTAAATAGAATGAATTAAATAATGACTTTTCGTCTGGGAATCAAATATTGTATTATTCTGCCAGTGGGATGAGCTAGAATAGTAAGTGTTATGCTGTGTACCCTGTGAAGTCAGCATGGGGACCCCGTGGGGTGGGGTGCCACAATGGGAATAGGCAAGGCGAGCAGCCTGTTGCTGGGGGACAGCGTTTGAGTTTACGTGGGGCGGTGACAGGCCTGGACAGTTTGCATGTCTTCTCCTGTCTGGTCCTCAGTGAGCCCTGCTGCTCTGGGGGAGCTGGGTGCTAGTGGGAAGCCATGAGGACTGACCCCAGCCCTGGCCCCCACATGACTGTCTGCACTGCGGCAGCAAGACCTGGGGGTGCTTTCCCTGCCAGCGAGGTTTACCTCACAGCAGGACCATGAGAAACAAAGTCTGCCCAACTGGTTATGAATCCTCTACGATTTTCCTCCTTCTCTAGAACAGTCTCTCTCTTCCCCGAAGTCTACATGCTATTCCCATCGGGAGCCGTCCTCCCTCCTGACTAGGTCCTTACAGAGCGGCTACATTCTGGCTTTATCTTTAGTTCCGTGGCTCCCGTGTCTTCCTGATATATGGTCCATGCTCAGTAAGCACCGGTGGAACGAGGGTGAGCCAGCCTTTGGCTCACTGTGTGTTGGGGGCCTGGCTGGAGGGGTGTCAGGAGGCCTCCCTCCCAGGGACCCGGCCCCGGGCCCTGCCTGCTCACTCCCCGTCTCCCACGTGAGGCTTCATTCTGCACTCCCACCTGGCCTGCACTCTCCCCTCCAGGGTCTGGATTCACCTACGTCATTCTTGCTTTGGACGATTTTCCCATCTTCCTGTTACGGCATCACATAAACCCTTCCCAACCACACGGCCTCCCTCTCAAATCAGTATGTCTTTCCTCTCCGTTGATGCTGTGCTTTTCGAAATAGAGTCTTCCCTGGAGATGGCAGACCTTTGGTGCCCAAGCGTGGCACGGATCCCAAGCAGATGGCCGCGGTCCGTCCCGTGAGTGTAGATGCACTCCTTCCCAGCCAGGTCGGTGGGGGCCGGGCTGAGCCCGCCCTGCCCCCATCTCTCAGCCCCACATGGTCCTCAAACCTCTGCTGCATCTGCGGCTCCTGTGCATCCCAACCTCCCTCTCTCTGCCTGAGCTGTCAGTGACCTCTGCTGTCCGTCCCCCCAGACTTCCTCCTCAGGCCTCCCCACATGGGCCAGACCTTTCCAGAACAGCTCTGCCCCCTCTTCCTCGGCTTCGCGTTCTACACACTCATGTCCCAAACTCCCATTTTCGGCTCCCGTTCCTGCTCGCTTTATGCCTCCTCTCCTTGGTTTCTGCTGCAGTGCCGAGAAAGCAGGTCCCGGGAGCCACCTCTGCTGAGGAGCGCCCAGCACTCCCCGCCAGCCTGGAGCCACCGGGCCCTCCTGCGCTCCCTTAGTGCGGCCTGCTTCTCCCGCGCTACATCCATCAGCGGAGTCCCTCCTTTCGGCTGCCAGGCGGAATTCTCCGCGTCACCTCCTGCCCCTCCCTCTCTCCTCCTTCATGCCCGCCTGTGTCTGGAGTGCGTCTTGAACTCCTCCCAGACTTTCCACCCCTGGCCACTGCCTCCGACACACCTGGTGTCCTGTGTGGACGACCACGACAGCCCCTGACAAGCCGCGGACCCCTCCTCTCCCTCAGGTCCAGCTCACTGCGACCCCAGGGAAGCCTGCAGGTCCCTTGGGCAGCCTGATGTCTCAGGTGTGAGTCACCGGCCAGGGAGCCCCTCCCACTGCGGTCACCTTCTGTCTTGAGCGCATGGCCCCCTCTCAGCTGCGCTGGGAGCTCTCGGGGGGCCGGAACCACATCCTGTCCCGTGCTGCATCCTCAGTTTCTAGTGCAGCGAGCTACCAGCTGACTACTCGACCACCTCCAACTGGACAGAAAGGATGACTGGGGGAGGCTGGCCCAGAAAAAAATGGAAAAAAATCTAAAGCCTAAGAAAAAGATATGCCCCCTGAGGATCCTAATTTTTTCTCTTTTTAAATTCTTACGTACTGGGACACCTGGGTGGCTCAGATGGTTAAGCATCTGCCTTCGGCTCAGGTCATGACCCCAGGGTCCTGGGATCGAGCCCCACATCGGGCTCCTTGCTCAGCGGGGAGCCTGCTTCTCCCTC